TCTCTCCATCTCTCCACGAATTAGTTTAAACCTAGCTGTCAATGATTGAAACTGTTGTTTATGTTTAAAGTTTATGTAAATGGAAGTACATATTTTCTTTGTTGAATTCCTACAAGATATCTCTCCTTTCCTTTGTGATAATTGTACAGTTCAACTTAAAACTCTAAGACTGGCTATGGGATATTTTGATTGCAATTGAACTTGCTAGGTCAAAACAGGTTTTGACTGATACAGTACCATGCTATTAAGACACTATTGAGGCACTCATAAGGAGACTTATTGTAGTGTTTTTATTGCAGGGCTGCTGGTGTCGATTTTATGTCTCTTGTATATGAAAAGCCTTATTGTCGCATTGCACCGTACCTTGTTGGTATGGTGTTGGGTTACTTACTTATTCACTCGAAGGACTGGAGGCTTCCCACCAAGGTAACACAAACTTTTTGTGAAATTTATTGTGATAAAAAGATTAAATAGTGGTATTCCAAAAAAAATGAGCATGTCAAGTTGTAATTGTTGTGAGGTGGGCCTACTGTTTACAGTCGTCTCTGTCTGACAAGTCTGGGATTGGATAATCATAGCTCAGAAATACTTGGGCAAAGACATAACTATTTTACTGGCGTATGATGCACAAGTTTGTCAGTAGCCTTGAAGAATTTTAGGTAAAGTCTGCATACGAGCCAACTGGCCCATCAGGCTGGGGCTTATCCTGGTTTCTGTAGCATGAAGCCACTAAGAGTATTTCTACTCCCCCCTGGATGGGATGCTGGTCTATTGCAGGGTTAACCTCAGCATTAAATTCCCGGTACCCATTTGCACACTTGGGTGGAGAGAGGCACTGTGAGAATGAAGTGCCTTGCCCAAGTCCACAATGTCCCTGGCCAGGGTTCGAATGCGGACTGCTCAAACCATGACGCCATCTTTGTTAAAGTTCCCCAAAGTTTTTGAGACTAGCCAGGGCACTAGGTAAATTCCTAGCATTAATCACTCGTGACTTGATTCATCTGATTTGTTAACTGAAGGTCCACACGTATATATTCAATATGGCTGGCTGGTGTGTTGCTATCATTCTCGCCCTGTCTACTCTGTATGGTGAATATCAAGTGTTTAGAACAAACAATCCTCAACCATTCTCTCGTGCTGAGAATATCACATATGGGATGTTTTCTCGATTTGCCTGGAGCTTGGCACTAGCCTGGGTGATTTTTGCTTGCCATCGTGGGCTCGGAGGTGAGTGTAACACTTCACAGACAGGAGCCAATTTCCATGATGATGGCTTGCATAACTGTTTGTATTATAGATGGTGGTTTCTGATACAGTGCAACTTCTTGAACCGGGCCTCTTGGAACCAATCAGAACGTTACTTGAGAACAAAGGATATTGTTCTTTTTTTCAAATAAACCAATAACATTGAAGAATACGAACAATAGTTCTTAACAAAACTGAAAAACCAACAGAGTACCTGTTCTTCCACTAACCAGAGGTCACTTTGACTTCTTGCCTTATTACTTTACACTGCACTACACTACAACTGTATAACAAAACACTTAATTACTGGTCCCATGGCAAACAGTTAGTATTGTTTCTCTAATTCGCCTTGGGAAACATCAAGATTCTCGGGAAAACAAAACTAACTGTTACGTTTCCCAAGTGACCAGTAATTAAGTGTAATTTAAATTAAAAATACTGGTCAACAGGGATCGTAAACTGTCTACAATCTAAAAGACAACAGCACTTGGAGAAAACCAGGACTTGAAGATGCGCGCATCACCGGAACTACCAATAACCACTTTATAGTTGTAAATACTCACTTTTGCATTTCTTTTTCCTTTTGAAGGTTTGGTGAATAGGATCCTGTCGGCTCGGTTTTGGATTCCATTAAGTCGGCTGACATACTGTGCTTATCTTATTCATCCTGTTGTTATACTGACATTGTTTTCATCAATGGAAACTGTACGGGCCTACTCTGATGTCCATATGGTGAGTAACATCTTATTTCTTTTGAATTGCTCGTTTTGAGGGGGGATTCTGGGGGCATTGGAGAAGCCAGAGTTGCTCTCGCCACGTCAAGCAACTCCTATGCTTCTCTCTCTGAAAACTTCGGAAGTGCAAACTGAGCATGAACAAATTATTAATGAATTTACAGAACGTTTCTACACTTCCTCTAAACTAACTTAAAAAACATACCCACGAACCATAGAAATACTTGGTGTGTTGCTGCAATTTTAATCCCGTGAGTAGAGATTGGTTATAAGAATCCCGACCAAGTTGCGATATCAGAAGCTTAAGGGGCTGAAAATCTAAAGTAATGCTACTCTCTACTTCGGAAATTCCACAGTTTTTCGGGTCATCCATCTTCGGTTACCACTTGCCATACACTGAATTTCTTTGTTACATTGTGCTTACAGGGGACATGACCTTACTAAATGTTTGTCTTTCACTCATT